TATATTAGTCGTTGTATTGCAGTTTGTAGTATTAGCCAATAGAGCTTAACATTGCCTTAAATCACTTGTGTGGTGCTATGATGTGAACTCATTTATACTATAAAGGCATCAGCACAGACACAGTAAATCCCAAACACCCAGTCAGCCATGACTGTACTCTTCCATCTTTAAGAAACTAAATGCTTTGTTACTTTACATATCATATTTCATCGCTAAGTGTGCTCCTCACACAACTCACTTAACTGGTATTCTATTTTTGACTCATGCCACCCACAGATGCATTGTGCCACACTGCCTTTTACAGTGCCTGCCTCCCCCCCTCCATGTCAAATATCTGACAGCCCTTTTAGTGGCAAAGCTGGCACCCTACAGGCAGCAGGACACTGATGATTGCTGCAGCCAGCAGGTGTCAGGGCTTGGCCACAGGCAAGCACACTGAATCCCCCTGGCAACTAGCAAGCTTGGTCATGTACCACAGCATGTTAAAGCTGCTTCAGTTTGCACACATTCTCCTATAACTGTGCGGGTTTTCACGAAAGATTAGGACCACTCGCCTCCTGTCATGCAACTGGCCWGGCTGAGTTCAACCACTTCAGGTCCTGAGGGGAAAACCATCAGCTGCCTGCGTGGAGCAGATATTGATGGGAAAGACTGGTTCATCTCACCATCGCTTGTTCAGTTTTTGTGAAAAAATTTTTTAGCTCACACCTTTCACACCCAGTAAATATTGAGGCTCATGTATCATCTTTTAATACTTTTATTAAATCAAACTTTAAAACATATTTGTCTTTTTTTAGTTAGCATATTTTCAAATTTTAACCAAGTTTCCTTGGATATTACCAAAAATACCCACCTTTCCTCCTCTGTTATTTACAGCCTCCATCTTTGTATTGTTCTACGCACGTAGATCATATGTAGCTGTTTGCTAATCAAAATTTTACACCCCACTTTGACGCTGGCTCTTTTGAAATTCTCGCTGCCGCGCTCCCCAAGGGACCAGCTTAAGGCAGCAGCTTCTGTTTCAGATCCTTTGAGGGACCCTGAGGAGTGAGCGTAGATGTTCTGTGATCACAGCCCAGATGAGATGGTTTTTATATGCAATATTCTGTGGGGAAAAAACCACCTAGGTTTTATAAAAACAATTTTTTTTTTTTACTGAGACTGGTACCTGTAATGATTCTACAAGTTTAGAGGAAAATTTGGTACACCTAAATCTTTTTTTTAATTATTAAGAAAAGAGCTGGCATTAAACATATATACTGTAATATGCAGTATACTTTAATTCACACTTTACAGGTTCTCCCRTCACCCTGAAGTGTAAATGGACAACAGATCATTAAACATATCAAGAAACGCAGCTCTGAGGTAAAGCTCAGCAGGATTGTTTGAGTTCATGCCTCACATAGTGACAACAAGACATGACCCACTTATCAATCATGTTTTTGCAATCTAGTTCATCACCCCTCCACCAAATAATGTGGCCATTGTTGTGAACTTGGTACAGAAAAAGAGTCGGATGCGTGACGACGAGCAGTAGATCCAAGTCAGTTCCTCTCTGACCTTTAGTGTCTGCGCAGTGGGCTCACACTGACGACTCCACAGCTAATATGATCCGCACAGAGTCAGTGTGCAGTGTGGCAAGCCTTACAGACAAACTAATTGGGCTGAATATTTTTCACTTAGATTTAATTTCATTATCAACATTTGCCTGTTGAGTATTTAATCAAAAGAAAAGAAGATACATTTGCTCTAATTAACCGTGTAGCTCATAAAAAGCATTTTTTTTTTATTGCTGCAAAATAAATAGCAGCTACAGATGATGTTGGTGTCAGATTTGTGAGACATTTTGCTCCTGTCTCTTTATATTAATTTGCTTTATGTATTCAGGACTTTGATAATGTGATCAGCACTGTGGTAAAATGATCTTCACTGTTGTTTTTTCCTAAAACTCAGCCATGGTCAGATAATCGATGTTTAATTAATTGTATTATTTCCTCCTTAGCTGGACTGACATCAATAGTGTTTTATTTGAGCTAACATTACTCTGATATCACAGATACATAACAACATTGTTTCCATGTTGGAATAGTACTGCACAAAGGCTGATGCAAAATGTAAGTCTTAAAATTAAAATATAATTAGTCTTTTTATATATAAAGATTATGTAAATGCTATTAAAACATAAATATGTGGAGTGGTTGATCGTCRTTAAATAAAAAGTATATGTGTGTGTGTGTGTTTGTGTGTACCTGTGCAGCTGCTCTGCAGGACCATGTTGTTGGCGGCCCAGCTGGCAGCCGCACCAGGCTCACAGCCCTCGAATGTTCTAATGTTTCTCACACGTTTGCTCAGGATGTTGGAGCAGCTCGTGGCTGAATTCAAGATATTTTTCCCTCTCAGTTTTTCCCTCTCAGCTGAGGCTACCAAAATGTCAGCGTCAGGTTGCAGTTCGTTACTGCTTGCTCTAGGAAGCTGAATAGTAAAATCAGATGTTGGGCATCGTGTGAGCAGTATTCTTCCTGGTCAGAACCAGTGTGCAGGATCTGTTCCTGAAAACAGACTTCTGTTGCACGGTGTGACCTAGCTGGACTCGGAAATTGTTTTCCGAAGTGTTCTTGATGTTTTCAGAGATACTCGTATGCAGTTATTGGCAATTATACCCAGGAAATCAAATCTTCACTGTTAGATTGCTGGTTGTTGTCTGGTGCAGGGCCCTAATAAAGTATTTCAGTTGTTAAATTTCAATAATTTTTATAGTTTTACTTGTGCATAATGTTTTCCACCATCACAACATTAACAAAAGTGCCACTCAGGAAGGGAGAGCAGAGGGAGGGGTGGATCCCAGGGGGATTAGACCTAGATCAGCGTTAAAGAAAGCCTTTGATTATGTCTGGAATATTACCCGGATGAGTCGGGGCTGGCTGAGTGTTCCCCGAGGGATTAATGTTGAACCAGCCCATCTCTAGAAGCTAACCTCGGGCACACACAAAGAAGTCTGACAGAATCCTGATTGTGGTCCTTGAGGAGGTGTAAGACATGAAATGCAATTACAAACCCTTCCAATACTCTATTTACAATTTGTATGTTGTTGTTTTTTCCATAACCTAGTTTAACATTGCTTTTTAGCCAAGCCACAAACTCTCAACAGTAAAATATTTTGTAAACGATCACTTAAACAGTCAAATAAAAAAAGCATATTGAGTGAGTTATGTGCAAGCAGGATAATTGATTTTTTTCCAGTTGTTCACAAGCAATCATGTCTGGATCATGATTGCAGGCAAACTCTTTTGCTTGTTTTTCCTATTCAACAGCAGGTTTTCTGCAGACATGAAATCTTTCCAGCATCATCAAGAGACAGTCAGACCAAGGATTATAGAAAGATATAATCATAAAATTAAAAAAAACATCCATGTTCAAGCAAAAAATATACTTTGTAGCTCTAACTGCACAGATTTACATGTTTAATGTATGCAATGTTTAATCTACTTAATGTTAACAATTCAGCAGATGCACATTACGTTTTTAGTGTTAATATGTGGAAATGTTCTTATCTCAGTAAGAGGAGAACATTGTTCAGGGATGAAAGAAGCTCAGAACAGAGTAGATTGTTCTCCACATCAGGAGGATCATTCTTTGAGGAACTCTTAGCTTGTCATAACAAAAGAAACATCCTTGATCGTATGTCTCTACATTCACACATTTTCTTTTTTGTATAGAAATTCTCCCTGTGGACTGTTGTGCCTCTTTTTTATTTTACATAAGAGTCTTCAAAAACAAACAAATCAACATCAGCATCCTGGGCCGATGTGATGCTGAATGTAGACAGTTTTCAAATTACAAACATCAATGGACACAAAAAGACATGAAAGCAAAAGGCCTGTTTATATAGATTATTGTGGAATATAAGGTCCTTATATCCAGTTGCACACATGGAAAATATCCCTTAGCGTTAATAGACTTTTGATGTGTAATTGTAATCTTCAAAGACCTTAAAAGAATACATTTTTGACGATTAGAATAATCACGCTCTTCAGTTATTCTCCTCTTCGTCAGACTTGTGCGCTGACCATTTGACTCGCAGTGTGCTTCTGAGGAAGGCAGGTTGCTCGAAGTCTGCACAGCTCATGTCAACTCTCTGCATGAAGTATTAGCTCTCCTATTTGTCTGAGGTGAGGAGCTCGGAGACATGATCAAAAATGTCACTGAGGCTGATCTAAAGACCCTGCAAACCACCACCCCCTCTTACACCATCCACCAGCATCCTCTCATCACCACCCCCACCCAAATGCAATTCAGCCACCGCCGTCGCCAATCCCCCGAAGGTTTTACCGAGCAGCTGAACTGACACCGGCGAGCTCTCAGTCTTTTTATGTCTGACCGGCTTTGAGTCTTCMGAGCAGCTCTCCAATTAAGCTGTGCCGAGGTTAAAGTAAATGGGCACCTCAGTCGTTGTCCCACTACCACGTTGTGCAGCTAAAATAATGAAAATAAGTGCTTTCTGTAAAAATCCACCAAAAGATTTTAAACACTGTAAACAGTGGCAACCAGAACACCAGCAGATAGTCAACAGAACGCTATTTTCTTTGTCTTTTTGGGTTCTAGAAAAGGATCCAGCTCAATTAAATACAACCCTACATCAAACAGTTTGTCAGTAAGCATTAGTGGCCTTTTGTACAGATAAAAGGCTAAAACAAATTGCCTGATTTATCATAGTTTTTGCGACGGGAAAAGGGTTTTCAGAAATATTYTGACATGCATGCTAATATTCTCTCTTTTAAATCTTATGTTTGACTTATTGGATTTATTAGGCTCTTTTCTGCAAATTATTTCCCCTGCATAGTTTGCTTTTTCAATTAGTAAATTTAAGCTGGATATATCCAGCAGAGCTTATATCCTTCTCTTGTCTGTGCTCCATAAGAGAGATCTAATGCGACAACAGCCGACCTTGATGTGCGAGTGCGCTATCACAGAAGAACCCATCCCTTTTCTGTCACCCACATTTGCTTTGGCAGCTCCTTTCATCGCCTGCCCCCCCCCCCCCCCCYCCCACTTTGCCTATATTCTGCATCTCTGCAAAGTGACAATGAAAATAGGTCACAGACAGGGCTGAGATCTGTGCAAAAACTACTACCCAATATTAATGATGTGGTGAGGAGGAGCCAACTTGCTCCGTGTCTGGACTCAGAGTCAGTCCAAGGAGGTCAGACGTCCAAAGGGAGTCTGGGGTGTACTGATGATATATGGTTGTATGTGGTTATCAGTGTAAAATAATAAACAGCCTTTAAGAACTTCATGGGTGAATGATAACCCCAGATTTTTTGTCTCAATATCTTTAAAAAATATTAATAATTATATTGATGCTAGGGTTGGGCAATATTGTCAAAAAATTAATCACAATTAATTGTGGTATTTAGCCGATAACGATTAATTTTACGATTAATCCCCTGGAGTTCCTGGACACCCTTATGTCCTAGTCACATGACCAATTTAGTGGGAAAGATTTGCTCTTTGTAAAAACCTGTTCCAAATTGTGTCAAAATTACAGACTTCATGCTATACATCAAATTTTAAATTGTGTTGATAGATTAATAAATTACCAAAGTTCGTCATATTCGAAGCGGAGAGGAGCACAGAGTGGACTGACCAGGGAAATCTCCAGTCCGTCTGCCCGGTGGCATTAATCGTATTAATTGTCAATTGCCAAAAAATAATCAATGTTTTTCTGACAAATTGCACACGATACGATTATGCCCAATCCTAATTGATACCATTTTACACCTCAGCCCTCTCATTGTGGCTGAAACAACCCAATGTTTAACATTTTGAACATCTAGGTGCACGGAGCAGTTCTGTGGATTAGATGTGTCACATGGTTCATATAACGCATAKGTTTGTGTGTCCAGAGCCACAGGAGCAGGGGGGATGAACCGTGAGGAGGCGCCGGGGAAGTCTCCTGAAGACGTGTACATCCAACAGAAAGTGCGGGTCCTGCTCATGCTTAGAAAAATGGGATCAAATGTAAGTACACTGACCTAATCATCACATGTTTGAGTTCACATTTTAAATTTAGAATTAAAGCCTAGGTTGTTTTCGTTTACCATTGATAGCTAAATAAATTCTTTCCAAGCTGGTTAAGAATGAAACACTTCAGTTATAACTTTTTGGATTGGTCCAAAGTCAGCACTCCTATGCATCTGATCAGAGTGGGCAAATGTTCCTAAAATACTGTAATATTCTAGAGATGAGATTAGAGAGACCTTTATTGTCATTGTACAGAGCACAATGAAATTACAGTCCTGATTTTAGGTTTTAGTGCAAATGAGATTTGCACCAAAACAAGTCAAAAACAGCAGAATAACTTTTTCACATAAATGAATTTATTGTTATCAGTCAGGACAAAAACTGTATTTTTGCCTTTTAGAAGGTTTGTCTGCAGGTCCTTCTCAAAAAATTAGCATATTTTGATAAAGTTATGTGATGGACTTGCAACCTGTCCAGGGTGTACCCCGCCCCTCGCACTGTGACTGCTGGATATGGGCACCAGTGACCCACGCAACCCTGAAAAGGAAGAAGCTTGAACAGAAAATGGATGGATGGATGATAAAGTTCATTATTTTCTGTAATGTACTGATAAACATTAAACTTTCATATATTTTAGATCCATTGCACACCAGCTGAAGTAGTTCAAGCCTTTTATTGTTTTAATATTGATGTATCCTTCTAAAAAAATTAGCATATTGTGATAAAGTTCATTATTTTCTGTAATGTACTGATAAACATTAAACTTTCATATATTTTAGATCCATTGCACACCAGCTGAAGTAGTTCAAGCCTTTTATTGTTTTAATATTGATGATTTTGGCAACAAAACAAAACAAAAATCCCTATCTCAAAAAATTAGCGAATCATGAAAAGGTTCTCTAAACGACTTATTAACCTAATCATCTGAAT